ATGTCTTCTGAGATGAAAAAGATATGCTCCTTGTGAAATTCATAGCGCATGGCCAAATCATTTAACGCAATTTGTTTGTCAAAAGATCCAGGACGTTTGCCTAATGGTATCATGATGTTGAACAAAAATGTCATCCGATAAACGATCAAAAAGACAAACGAGTGACTCAAGATAAATGTTTAACATATTTTACATCAGCTGTCATATTGCGTTAACATGGATCCTTCAGATTATCATTTGTTTGGATTTCTCAAGAGATATTTATCCAGGTCATCTCAACATTCACTTTTGCAGATTTACAATGTGGGTTCGGATAGGTTCAGTCTAAGATATGCCAGGAGGGGACCGAACTAATATTACACCTCTTTATGGAGACAACGATAAACAGTAGCATAGAAATGCATTCATTTATTTTCGTATCCGTAATTTACAGAATTTTGAACGACAATGGGGGACGCAGCTTTGATCCCTGATGGAAGCCATTTCCTTTTATCATGACTCTCGATTTCACAGTCAGGCAGACATATATTTAAGCTATTTAAAACAGTGATGTCTATTCTAACACAGGTAACTTGTAAATATAAGTATTCATTTATATATATATATATATATATATATATATAATTATTTATTTAAAAAATATGATTCCAACTCGCGACATAATTAATAATTAAATAAATAATTATATTTATGCTCTACATTTGTATCGAGCACTATTTTAAAAAAAATAATAACTAAAATACTAAGGAACTTTGGATCTACCTAACCAGTTCTTTCCTATTTTCTATATATTTATATAAATATATATATATATATATATATATATATATATATATATATATATATATATATATATATGTATATATATATATTATTAATAATCAAACAATTCTTTATATATATATATATATATATATATATATATATATATATATATATATATATATATATTTCAAGATAATACGTGTCTCATGGATTTCTGTTATGGAGTACAGACTTTTATTGAGAAGGGTGTACAAATTATTCGTTCCATAACTATAGATAATTTTATATATAACCGTATCGCTCTCTCTCTCTCTCTCTCATATATATATATATATATATATATATATATATATATATATATATATATATATATACATTAATGTAAGTATGTTGGTGTGTGTGTGTGTTTGTGCATTACGATCGTTGTGCGCGTGCGCGTGTTTATTTATATGGTAGGTAAGACGGACATTTTATTCTTTTTATTGTCTAACCACCGCCATTCTGGCGTGAAAGTTGTAATCATAATTTTAAATTTTTCTGTGTCATTAGTATTCCTTCACACAAACACACACATACACACACACACTCACCTACACACACATATATATGGGTGTATATATATATATATATATATATATATATATATATATATATATATATATATATATATATATATATATCTCTAGATGGTTGTTCATTGATTAACCTGTCTCAGCACTAATCATTTATTGCATTACTGACAGAAAAATACAGACCATTTCTGCATTTTTTTTATTAGGAATAAAAATATATGATTAGAAAATTCAAAGATACAAAACAATAGAAATGATAATTTGTTACATCTTATTTTTACTCATTTCTGATGTGATATCAAGAAATATTTAATATTCCTCTGTTTATATCGTGTGATATTAGTGTATACAATGAGGGAAATACAGAAAGCGAACTTTAAACTTTTAATCCTATTTATTTTTTAATATGATAATAATATATAATGAAATAGTGTTATAAATATGCAGAATAGCGACCCATCAATTTGAGAACTAGTACTCATAATAATAATGAAAATAAAATCTTCTTCAAAAGCTGAACTGCTTATAGCTGACAACAAAAATGTGAGAATATATCAAATAAATGCGCTATTATACTCAAGGAATTCAGATGTGCGCCAATCTAAGCGGTTTTCTATCCAGATGTCTTGATTTGTCTAACTTACAACTGCATCACAGTCGTATTATCCACGAGGCTCAAATAAGGATAACCTAGAATAGAAGTAGATATTTTGTGATATCGGCGATCATGATCCTAATCGTCCTACAATCTCCTACGTCACGTGTCATCTGTTGGTTGAAGTTGCGTTATGCTAACATACGTGCAACTTACTGTGATAACATGATTGAGGGCTTGACCACAGTTTCAATTCTAAATTAGAAATTGTCATTGCACACCCCACCTCCAAAATAATCACAGACTTTGGAGTGTATCCCTGTGTATATCTCATACATTTTCTGTTTTTGTTCGAAGTTCGCATCGGAAGTGCTATATCATGCAGTATTCACTGAGGTGTTTACTCTTGTGCTTCATATTATGTTTAAGGATACCCTATACATACTTCCATTTTTCTACCAGAGAACGGAAAGTGAACAACTGAGATCATAAGACATGATGGCTATAGATGCCCTCCAAAAGCTAAGCAGTGACAGAAATATTTCGTTGGAAACAAAGAAAAGAATACTAAACTGTTACGGGATATCTGTCCTCCTATATGCAAGCGAATGCTGGAAAATCTCCTCAAAGATAAAGAAGAGACTTCAAGCAACAGAAATGTGGTTCTACAGAAAGATGCTGAGGATACCATGGGCCGAGCATGTGTGCAACGACGAGGTTTTAGAGAAAATGGAAACAAAAAGTAAATATATACTTAACATCAGGTAGATGCAGTTTAAATATCTGGGACACGTTATGTGGAAGAGGAGGTTCGGAAAATCTGATACTCACAGGACGGATAGAGGGAAAGAGGAGCAGCGGAAAGCAACGCGTGACATACTTAATGGGCTTAAACAAATGAATGGCTGAACAGGATTTGGGAGATATAACCAAAAGACAAAATTATTAAGAGTTACAAGGGACAGGAAGATGTGGAGGGTCATGATCGCCTATGTCCTGAAGAAGCACAGCATATAAAATAAAAAAAGATATATCCTGCACGAATTCGGTCGTAGTGATCCGATTTGTTTGCTTACATTAGATTGTCTTTTATTTATAGTCGGATAAATGTGTCTTATAAAGTAACTTGTATATGAACTACCACCCGTTCTATATAGACATGACTATCTATATGTACACATATACATACATAGTAATTTGTCTGTATGTGTGCACGAAAATGGTATTTATAATTACTATGTCTTTCAGAAAGGTTATCTGTGACAACAGCAACATCTGACACTAATCGGCAAAGTAAATTATTTCCAAATCTTGTCTATTGTAAGTTGTTCTACTTGGGTGATTTATTCAGTCTGACTTATTTCTTTTGTTTTTGTATAAGATTATGTTGACCTAGTCTTTGCAATCCTGGATTAGTTTACTCTTCTTCCAACAACAAACAATACGTTTGTGAAACCTTGCATGCAAAACAAAACTTTCATATATCCCTATCTCTGTAGAGATGCCATAAAACCTTACGGCTTTGCTATATCTCAGCTGATCGATTCTTATCAAAATTTCAGATGCAGTCGGTACTTTGTTTCAGCTCTGTTGGTTGTTTCTTGATGCCATCTATTGCAACGACCCCGTTTGTTCGTTTGGCGCTTAAGATTGTGTGGAATGTTCTGAGTAACGATTCAGAATAGAGTCATTGTAAGTGTGCATTTCAGCCCCACATGATGTGCAGTGTTTAATCGAAACATGGTTAGTTGCCGACTTTAGTATTAATACAGTATCTTCCTCTGAGATTTCAGGCAGAATTTAGTTCGGAGAATGTGATAAGACTAGCAAAAGACACTGTTCTTACTTTGATATAATGGTTGAAACAACCTTTTTTGAAGTTTTAAATTTATACTTTTATTTCAATCAAACATGCTCGGATCCAGTTTGTGGAGTATCCAAGTATATTATGTTTTCATAGTATTCAAGAATTGTGGATTATATATGCTTACAGTGAGATTAAAATGATTTTACATTTTGACTATTATTTAGTTACATTTAGGAATTTAATATTTGAATTTTGAGTGGCATGAGTGAAAATTTATTTTCCAAATATCTATAATTATTTCTTACAGTAGCTGAATATATTCGGTCATTTAAAACTTGAATTATAATTTTATTTAATCACAAATCAAAAGGCTTACGGCCGTATCATGTTGAAACACCGGTTATCGTAGGAACACCGAAGGTAAGCAATGTCGACGTTTTGGTCAGTACTTAAATGGTTGACCTTTTGGGAATGCCAGGTACGCAAATACCTTTGAAAAAAAAAGGTATGAATCTACTTCTTTTCCCCTATGTGTTAATTAGTTGGACTTTTATCAGAAAACGATTATTATCTAAATAAAGTCTACAATCTAAAATATTTTCTGGCTTTAAATAACCCCAAAGAGTTGACAAGCCGAAAAAAACGAATGAAACAAACAAGACCCAAATCAAATACTACGTTGCTGTCGTTGGCTTGAGTTTCTTTTGCACTGAGCACATACTTTATAATGTAAATTTATCTGAAGCTAAAATACAAATTCTACAAGAACATAACCGAAAATAAATTGTTTACAGAACAGAACATGGATTGTCTGCAGAACAGAACATGGATTGTCTGCAGAACAGATATCTGACCCAATATTTTTTTTTATATTTTATTGTGTAAATCATTTTTTTAAAATAAAATTTGTATTAATTAATGGCAAAATTTTCTCGTCTCTAATAGAAGAATGCAATTTCAAATCGATATTAGTCCACAATGTTATAAAGTAATAATTTCAGATCAAAATTAAGCTAATAATCGTGAGGGTTCCAGCGCAAAGACGGTTGCTGGGGCTCGGGCAATTTTTGTTCCTAGCCCGGGTGTACGGGCTCGGGCTCCCCACATTAAACCAACTCTGTGTCACAACCTGACCTCGTGGGCGGTTGAGTAAATAAAAATAATCGTGAGGGGTTTCTACGGTAGCGATCCACTATCGCATATTTAGAGATTACAAAAAACCGAATAAAATGTAGTCATTGGGGAAGGATTAATTAAAAACAAGAAAAAAACAGGAGAGATAAAATGGAAAAAAGTATCATAATAATATCCAAAAAAATGTTTTGTAAATGGGTGAAAAAGAAATAATAAAGAAGAAGGAAAGAACGAAATAAATAAATAGTGAAAATGAAAAAAAAAAAGGGAAGAGAAAAAATTAAAAAAAAAGGAAAAAAAGAAAAGGCTAAGGGAAATTATTAAGAAAAGATGAGAAAATAATGATATTAGAGAAAAGAAGAAAAAAGAAATACATAAAAGAGAAAAGAAGGACAAAATAAAGGAGAAATGAAAGAATAGAAATCGAAGTGAAAGTCTAGAAAACTATAAGAAAATATGAAATCGAGAAGAGCAAATAGAAAATCAAAAAGTAAAAAAGAATTGGATAAATAAATGGATTTAAATACGGAAAGATTAATATGAAAAGAAAAGAGAAATAAAAGAAATTTGAGATAATAAAGAAAAAGAAATGGAAAAAGAGAAGAAAAAAATTATTAAATAGAAGGCTAAGGTATATTTGTTTATTGAATGAGTTGAAATAAATACTCATAAAAGTACGCATGCAGAGACCACACACACACACACACACACACACACACACACATTAAGAAAATTAGAAGGGGCCGAGAAATTTTCCTTATTTCCTGAACGCATACACACACATCACGCGCACACACACACACACACACACACACACATATATATATATATATATATATATATATATATATATAGACATTTAATTGTATCACATCATGTCCTTCATAAACTTGATCCGACTTTTCTGTTAACGTGATGAATATTAAGGAGCATTACTATACCTAAAAAATTTCACAAACAATAACATTTTGCTCTTGTATATAAAAAACTGTCATAAAATGAAATCCTTACATATATATATATATATATATATATATATATATATATATATATATATATATATATATATGTGTGTGTGTGTGTGTGTGTTTGTTTATGTGTGTGTGTGTTTTCAGTGGATGTAAGCTTTATGGAAGACAAAATACACCGGTCGGATTTGGACACATATTTGGCTTTTTCTCACAAACCCTGTGGCACCGTTTCCCTTACCAATTTCCAATTATAATCTAATTGGTTGTTTTGATCAAATCCGTTTACCACAGGCAAAATAGATATCATTGGGTACATTTTATTTTATTTTCACGGTGTGTGGTAGGTTTCCTTACTTTTATAGTTGCATGAAAATGTCTCTCATAAACTGCATAAAGTACATGGAAGTAAGTTGGTAAAATCTGGCTCTTCACAACTTGGTACATGTTCTGTCATCCTTTTACTCAATCTCGTCGAGTTGCATACTTGCATATTTCACCTTCTTTTATATTTAATGTGCCTTCAATCATCGTGACATATATAGGGACGGGGTATGTGTTCAGCATGTCTGTTGATGAAGGAGATAGAAATGATTTCCTAAAAACGTTGATTTCAAAGTGATACTAGATAGCCTCAACCAACATTCAAAATATGAATCCTGTTTTCGCTCTACTGATCCGTTAGGCGACTCAGAATCACGTCTGGTGTCACGTGATATCTACCTAATGCAATCAAGTTATGCCAAGAGTTTCGATCTATCATCAGAGTATATAGTATCCCTACAAAAACAAACGAAACGGTAATTTATACTTAAATCTCGGCGAACTGATTGGCATTAATTAGCTTTTTGGTTTTCGGATCGAACGTTTACTGGTGTTTTGTCATTTGCGTTTCAGTCCCTGTATTTAGGTTTATTCCTTTTTCATTTTGCCGCATGTAAGCCACTGGTGCACTCGCAATCGAATTAAAGCAAACATCGTTTATGAGAAATATTTTTGTTTCTTTTTTTTTATGATAATTTACCAATAGAAACTTGATTTCCTTTGGAATTTCTTTTGTTGAATTGTCATATACCATATAATTACCACTTTATCAGACCATGCTAACATCCGCTGTTTGAACTATTGATGGAATTGAAATGACTTCAATAATATCAAATGATGTTGATAACATTAATTTAAATACATGATATAAGGACGATGGTAATGGTGAGATAGCCCTTTCCATGCGGAAAATATTTGGCAATCAATTACCGAATTAGAATTATAAATAGCCTTTTTAGTATCTTGTTGTTTGTTTTGACAAAGACACTATACTTTATATCCACGAAGTCTGACAAATCTTTCTACTATTAATGCGAGTTTCCATTTAAACATATTTGTTGTTTGGTAGTCTGGAATGCTAACATTTGCTTATATCATTATTTTTTCTTCTAGTTGCATGTACTGCCACCTTTTCCCGTCGTTGCTGCTATAATGATGGAATATATCGTACAATGTAACAGAATAACTTTCAGGCACTTAATAGTGAAGTTGTATCATGTTCGACGCACTATGATTCTAACTTTTTCATCGTCAGTTAGAATAAATGCATATAGAGAGTGATATGGTGTATCATGCGTTGGGGTAGTTGTTAGAATGTCTTACTAATAAAACGAGTTTTAATCTCACTGTGCAATCTAGGACATATGCGCCTATGTGCAATGTTTACTAAATAATGATAAGAGAGAAATAATGTTATTGTAAATCCAGTAATGTAATATGTAAAATAAATCTGAATTTTGAATTTTATATAGAGTTTAAAACCAGTTGGAAATCGATTAAATTGGTTGTAACCTATCCAAAAATAGTACTCTCTTATGAACACTTTAAATGCTGTATATTATAGAATTGTTACTGAACTACGCTGGCCGGTTTTTTGAAAAAATAGGAAACCGATATTTGCTGGAAATAAATTATTAAACGCAGCGATGGTCATAGGCGTCGCCATTTGAGTTTCGATTGCATATTCTGCAGCACAGACTAGATTAATCGACACCGCCAACACAAAATATAAAAATACGTCAAAAAACAGGTGTCATTGTATGCTAATATATATATATATATATATATATATATATATATATATATATATATATATGTAGGTTTCGAAATAGACTTAAAGTTAGTTTATAATACAAAGGCTAGCGACATATAGACGGTGACGTCTAAAACACGCATGCACGCACGTACAAACACACAGACACACACACGCATATATATATATATATATATATATATATATATATATATATATATGGAGAGCGAGAGGCAGACAGAGAATCAGAGAGGCAGAAGGCAAATAAAATTTCGTAAATACGTATATGTACGTTTATGTATCGTCCACAGTAGGTGAAGTCATTTTTATCAAAGCATATAATATGCTCACAGCAGTGGAAGTGTAAATTACACATTTATATTTAACCCTGTTAAAAGGAAACTGGAAACATTTAACAATATCAAATCGTTATCTTCCTTGTAGTCCGTTAGTATATTCAATAGAAAATCGGTTTGGTTGGGAGACATCTTGAGACTTTATTAAGAATTATGTTTTGCAAGTTGGAACGATTTCTTCCCAAACAACTGCACACTTTATTATACAGACAGTAACAAAATTGTCCACTGTTCCTGCATTTACCATCAAGACACGAAGTAAAAGAAATAGAAGCCAAATATTCAGAGCTTATGCAGGAAAAAAAAATTCAGTAGTTTTTTTCAATAGCAAGAAAATGCCATATTTAGATTTCTTTATTGATGGGGAATATATTGGGTTTTTGCTGATGATGATTTTGTGATAGATCGGCCTTTAATGATGTGCCAAATCAATACCCTACTTCCTTTTCTCTCTATGTTTACGCGTTCGTCAGAGTATAGACGATTTTAATAAATAAAGTACCTGCCACTTTCGTTAAATGAAATAATTTTTTAATGCTTCATGCTTCTTTAAACTTTATACGTTAACCTTCGAGAGATAATGTTCTTAAATCAAAATGTCTTAAAATTCTAATACAAAACAAATTATCTACATATAATGGTGTAATTGGCAAAGCATGGAGATCCACTGCGTATACAGAAAATCATTATTCGGAATGTTTTGATACCGCTTCATAAATACATAACTGCTTCCCGCCCCTGACAGGTGATTTCAATATTTTCTCTAGTAGAACAACTACTTTGAGACGTATATACAGATGATATTTGCAAAATTTGTAATGGTTACCAAAACTAGAAATATTATGACACATTCTGTTTAATTTCCTAGATTGGGATTATTTTTGCTTTAAAATGATTTATTTCGGAACTATATCCCCATCATTATTGTTATTATATCGGGCGGCGTACTTAGATGAATTTTCCTGTCACGGTCTGTTAATATTGATCTCGTTTATTATTTTTAAACATTAATTCGTATAAAATAAGTTTCCCATTTTCGACTTAAAATTTACCTTATGATGAATGAGGTGAATGAGGGAATGATATTAAGATGGTTACAGGATTATCTTCATATTGAAAATACATATCTGCCTGACAACTTAGAGATCTTTGAATGAAAGTAATTCAAAGTGGATGACCAGTGTCGGTACTAGAAAAGCAACGCTTCTCTCGGAAATATATTTCACATTTGTTGCCTTCCTTACCTATACGCAGAGCAGTATCACGATCAAATATACATTGGGGAAATAAATATTCATACACCATTAACATTTTTAATTAACATACATTTAATTTAGGAAAAACTTAAAATCCATGTAACATTTCTACACAATTGTATAATGCTGCCTTATGCTAACAATTAGAAAACTTTGTTATAAATGGAATTATGTGTTATTTATAAAATTTCGAGGAGAAAAATGTATTCGTACAAAATATGTCTTTAATATCAAAAGTCTTTAATTAATTTGATTTACATCATTTTGCTAGATTCCACCAATTATCTTATTTGAACAGTCTAGAGCAATTTATTTCTTATATAAGGTTATCTCTTCAAAAATCAAACACAATAATTATCATCATTGGGAAAGGCAAGGAACTACCAAATTCACAAATAGAATTGATCAACAAATATTGGAAGGAAGGAAAAAGTTAGAGGAAAATAGCAGATATCCTGAATATACCATTTACTACTATTAGTTCCGTCTTTGCAAAGTATAAATAAGTGAAAACTGTTGAGGATAAATTGAGATCTGCTACACCACGAAAGATTTCTTCCAGATCAATAGAAGGAATCCAGATCAAAATTCAAGAAAATCCGATGATTACTCGAAGAGAAAGGCAGGAAGAATTAAAGGCATCAGATATTATTGTTTCGAAGAGACCAATAAGCAATAAACCTCATAGAAGTCAATTAAGAACTCCAAGAAAAAACTCTACTACTACTGAAGAAACAAGAGGATGACTGATTAAAATTTGTTCGTGAACATAAAATTAAACCTGAATAATTTTGGGAAAGTGTTTCATGGACAGATTAATCAAAAAACTGTTTTATTTGGGCGTAATTCAAGGAGTCACGTTTTGAACTCTACTTTGTTTGGGTCAATAATAAAGATTGTGTTAAATAATAGGTTTGCAGATTATTATATTTTTAGAGAAGTGTATTGATGTTCCGACTACCTGAGATCAGATAGAAGACAAAATAAAGGAAGTCGATTTCGATTGGCTGAGA